AGACCGACGTTTATTGTTAGATCCTTACATAATGCGATTATATAGCAGGAGGGCGTATAATACACCTATGTGCACACACAATTCATCGTGTGCGGGGGCGGCAAGAAGGTGCAGGGAGTTGCATGGGCAAGGGGTGGAAGAGGGATGGAATGCGGGGTGAAGCCAGATCAATACTAGCAAAAGCATGACACGGTCGCGAACTCGCGGCACACGCCGCGACCGACAAAAAGACCAGACAAATCGAGCGGATACAAGGCATGATCGTCGTGATCTGCTGCGCTGATGTGTCGTAACTGTAATTGTCGTCGAAATAATAAGTCGAAAATTCGGAACGCGTTTTGCTTTGCTCGTCTCGTTTGCGGATTTGCATTGTTTCTGTCCATTAGAAAGTTTACGCGAACGCCATAATCGTCGCTGTGTCGAACATTGAACCTGACATGAATGCACATGCGTCAATCTCTTCTCTTTGAATATTCTTCTTTTCAAGTTTGACTCGGCCGACATAATTCATTAAGGATTTGTCGCAATTATATAAAATGGATAAATTTGATGAAGCGCAAAGTAGCAAATTATTTAAATTTGGCTTTTTGCAATATTGTATGTAAATGTTAATGTGTCTATGAATTAATTGAAAAATATTTTAAGAGCAAATTCGTAATTCAGAATTCCTAAAACATTTTTTATGCAATTTTGAGATATTGTGCATACTATTTTTATTTTATATTGATGTTAGCACTGAATTCCGCAAAACAATCATCACCCGCGCGCGCTAGTAAATTTCAAATTTGAATAAATTTTTTTCCCGTTTTCGTGGCTCAAAGTGCAACGATCAATACTCATTTCACCGAATATCGATACTATCGCTTTTACGTCGACTTGCCTAATCTTTTTAGCATAATACGATAGTTTCACGATAGTTTTTTACTTGCCACGTGATTATCGCGTGATATAAATATGTATTCTGCATGTAGCGTTGCTTTCCGAAGGCTCAAGACTATTCTGACGCAAGTTCACCCATAAATGCACTTTCTTATGTCATGACTAAACAATGCGAATGTAGTTTAGCGTGTATAACTGTATAATCAACATTTCGATCTTAACTATGTCGATGTTGGATTATGTGGAAGGGAGTGCAGTTTTTTTTTAATAATATATAATGAATGAGTAAACGAAAGACTTTAATAGAATAAAAATTTCTCTAAATCACATGGTTAATCCTCAAATAATTTGCAATCATGTGATTTCTCATCCGAATTAATAACATTATCTTTTATTTGTATTTGTCACATATATTCGCTATTTTTATCTTTATGTTGTAATTTAAGAATATGTTATCTGAATATAATTTATTTGGTAGATAAAAAAACAAATAATTATAATATAAGTGATTAAATAATTATTGCAATAGTTGGAAAAACATTTAAACTTCATAAAACTTGATGAAATAAAATTTATTTTATGAAGGCAATAAAACAAACAATTTAATAATAAATATTTTAATTAAAAAAAAAAAAATATTTTATTATATGTTTGTTTAAATTATACATCATTTCAACAATGTTTAGCTCTTTGTTTTTGTACAAATTGTTTTTGCAATGCTCGTAGGTGAATTTTGATGCATTATTATGCACCTTATCTATTTTTAATAAGATTGGTGCATCAGGTGTGTGTCAGATTTAATATATATTGTGTAATACATATATGTGAGCAAATCAGCGTTTCGACCTCGACTATCCTACGTCATGTTAATCGAAACTTTAGTAGTTTGGAATAAAGAAATCCAGTCGCCAAGGCGTAATTCCAGTTCCGCGGAAACTCGTAATTGATGTAACGCGCTGTATGTAAATCGATATCTAGCTGCGAATGCGTCTCCTTTTGCCCTGTGTGCATAATATACTGCTCTACCAGTACATCAGTGTTCCAACCTCGATGATTATTACGTCACATCGATCGAAACTTTATGTAGTAGTTTAGAATAAGGAAGTTGGTTTATTAAGCATGGAGACTCGCTGATCGATCGGTCACTGATTACTTTGGGCGTGCTTCGTGTTGAACTTGCGAGTGAAGCACTGTTGCAAGTGAATTTTCCATAATAGAGAATGATAGCTTCGTGATTCTTTTATTCATTCAAAATACGTCGGTAAAGGAACGGTATTGAGGGTAATTCGGAGGATGAAATAATCGCGAAATAAATTGAGTCAAGTGCAAATCGATTCAATTGCACCTACACTTCTTATTGCTGTTTAATTGTGGTCTCGGCAATTTTTCCGTACTCCCGAAATACAGTTCGAATACGACGATGCAGCTGTGCACCAACTGATAACACACCAACGCTACCGTATAGTCATCTACTCGTATTATAATCGCTTGCCTATTAATCATGCACTTTCTGCCGAGGCAAACTTCTCGGCAAACATCACTACGACGTTTATAGTCCCATCTCTCTCAACGCAATATATAGTTAAATATTTATCGATTTACATCAGAATTTGTGCAATCTGGCCCACGACTCATTTCTTGGACTGCATCGAGCTCTCTTTCAATGACGTAATTTTCTTGATCGATCTTTTATTTTTACCGCTGGTCGAACACGTTGTCGTGGCATACATTGGAGAACAACTGATGGAATCGTATATTGAATTCATATTTTTTTTTCAATATAGTCAACTTAAAAATTTTACAATACTTTATTTGGTTGAGTTCAGATTACTTGTGAAATTGCTATATGTTCGATTTATATTTACATTACGTATGCTATCCGTGTTTTTTTTTTTATTTTTAACAAAAATTTAACAATTATCGATATTTAACAATTTTAATATTAATAGAATTTGATCATATAAATGTATGATGTGCATTTATGATATCTTATAACATCTTTACTAAATTACTAGAATTTACGAGTGAGTATTGTACGATCACAACAGAATTTAGGATGTCAATATTCTTTAATATCTACTGGTGCAATTCTGAATCCACAACTGGATTCAGTTATTTCCAATATTCGATGTGATATTTTTCATGCTTGACGTTGCTTGCACGACGTTGCACGCTCGAGTTGCGTTACAAAAATAACGAACAAAATTGATCACAAATGCCCAACTGTCGCTACGAATTACTAATCAGTTAACGCAACAACGAACAAACGTGTTTGGCGCCATGTAAAACAAATGTCCATGAGCCACGTAATTGATATATTTTCTGGATTGTATTATGCGTATAATATATTCTTTTGTTTTTTTGTCAAATTTCGTAAATAATGCAATACGAAAACTCTATTGCAATTTATCGTGCCGTTTTATCACGGTGCTTATTATAACTTCGAGAAAATTTGCGATCAACGCGAAAGACTATGTAACTTATGAACTGATCTGTTTGTCTTATTAATCAGCTTCAAACGCGTAAATCTCATCGTTTGCGTAATTGGGTTGTAATGTTCTTTTATTCCTTCATGAGCGGTAACTTTTCATTTTGTGTGTTATAAAGAATAAATAATAGCTAAATGGTAACAATTTTGGAGAATAAATGCACAATATATAGTCCCTTGTAGTATGACGATAAAGATTGTTAAAGCTCGGAAACTATTAGTCAAATTAGCTAGATGTCAATTTGTTTTTGTTTTAATTAGTTTCTGATTGTCTTTTTCTAAAGCTAAAAATAGAAAAAGACAAATAAAGTAAGTTCAATTGCGGCTTAAATAAATTGATATTAACGAAATTGGTTAATGAGCGACATTAGGAAAAGTAAAATTTGGGCATAATTTATTTAATTGTGTGTAGATTGATTTTTATTTTTTACAGAGGAAAGTAGGTTTCTAGTAAGTGCTAATGGCCAATTTTATTAAGTATAGGAAATTTACGGGCGAAATACCAGTATATTACGGTATTATTACGATAAACATACTTATTGTTAACGTATACTTTTCATGCGTTCGTCTCTGTCGCGTGAGTTTTCAAGCTCATTTTTTTTTCAACGTAGAGCACACATAAAGCTATAAGTACGAAGCGCTAGTTGTGATTGGTAGGACGGATAAAAATGTGCCAAAAAAAAAGAGGAAACACAAGTGGTGACGGTGGTGTGGATCAATCTGTGTCTCTGTGTGTGTGTGTGTGTGTGTGTGTGTGCGTGTGTGCGTGTGTGCGTGTGTGTGTGTGTGTGGAACTAGCCAAGTAAAGCGTAAGAAAGGAAAATATACATGATGGGTGTATGTACATTGATACATTTATTAAGTATGACTGATACAAAGGCCGTGAAAAGCTCTTGGATACAAATGTAGCGCGTATTCTCGTGAATGTTTAGTTTCATTGTTTGAAACTAAATCGATCGTTTTCGAGCAAATCCATCGATGGCAACATCCAAAGCACAGCGTGTCAGCAACAACATCGTTTATTTGCAAAGAAAACATATATACACAATACAGCAAAAATTGCGCGTTTTCTTACGACTATAAATTTTTCTTTGCAAGAATTTAATTTTCTTATATCTTTTTGCTTTAAAAATTTTATGTATATAGGTATCAAGGTATCTATATATCTCAATCTACCTTTGAAATCAATCTAGGAATAAAGTTATCTGTTTAACTTTCTATTTAATTTACTGAAACTCTCTTAATTTTTTGATATTAACACTTTTGCGATCGTTAAATATTCGCTTCCAAGCTCTTGGCTTGCTCTGCTCAAGCGGCTTGGAACCGCTCTATTATATTGAATGGATGTAAAATCCAACATTTTATATTACACGACTTAATACAATGATGCAAAAAGCAGTAAATGTAAAATTACGTGACCGGCTGCTGACTTATACCAAATTATAAACGTGAAAATATGCGAGCGATCGCGAAAGTGTTAACACAACTGCAATTAAAATTGAAATCTGTTAACGTTATTATATTTTTGTTGGAAAATGTTACATTCAGAATATCGTTACATATAATCGGAGGAAAGACGCGCAATTTCCGATATATTCAGTACATCAGAACGCAAAGTACAGTGATGGCATACATTAGAGGGTTGTTTTCCTGGTTGTTGGTCGGCTGGGAGGTCATGGAGCGTCTCGGCCGCCATAGGGCTAGTCTGGCGAAGCCGTACTTGGTCATGGCCGCTCTCGATTGCTCTCCTCTCCAGTTTTCCCGAATTCGCTTTCTCAATCAGGCTGTGCCCGAAACCACCTGGAACCGGTGAGTCCACTTGGACATTCTTCGGCAAACACTCTTTCGCGACAATCCGCTATGATGATCTTGATTATGGTTCATATGGCGGCGATTCATCTCTTGAGCGCATAAACAATCATGCGGCGCGTCTTTTCGATGCACTTTCGTAAGATGTTGCGAAACGACATAATCGAATTGTCTCTATGAGCGGCTTGTATATCGGTGGCGGATCCAAAATGACGTTGAGCGAAAATAATGATTGTGGCATTCACTTTGATCGCCAAGGAACATTGAGCCTTTTTTACTACATTGTACTGTTATTTCTTGAATGAACTGTTTGGCAGATAAATAGTTATATATATCTTATAAGTTCGATTTTATGTACTTGGAATATATAAGACAAGTCAAGTGCCAAGCTGATCGATTGTTTCGAGGTTTCGATCTCGGGACGAAATTTAAGATTGTTTTTCTCCGACTGGAGCTCTCTCTCTCTCTC